AAAATTTCAAGTATTTTGAAAAAGCACAACAGTAAAATCATGCACTAATTTAAAATGTTTTTAAAAGGATGCATTAAAGCAATAATCCCCCCCACCCCCAAAAAAGGGAACATTTGCTGAAAAAATATTTACCCTCAGGCCATGCAAGATGTAGTTTGTTTCTTCATCAGAACAGATTTGGAGAAATTTAGCATTACATCTCTTGCTCACCAATAGATACCCTGCAGTGAATGGGTGCCATCAGAATGAGAGTCCAAACATAAATATAAACATGATAAAATCATCACAGTTTTTGTTTTAGACTGTTTTTGCTTGTAAAAGGTGCTTGTCCTGAGCCGGTTGCTCTCCTAATTCTGACTTTTTCATTGAAGAACACAATATTATGGATAGAGGACTCATATTTTAGGCAGAAGTAATGGTTAAAAACGTCTTAATGATGGATTTGTTTCTTACAAACATGCAGCTTTTCACTTCACAAGACATTAATTGATGGATTGGAGTCGTGTGGATTACTTGTGGGTTATTGTGATGTTTTTATCAGCTGTTTGGACTCTCATTCTGACGGCACCCATTCACTGCAGAGGATCTATTGGTGAGCATGTTATGTAATGCTGAGTTTATCCAAATATGTTCCAATGAAGAAACAAACTCAAATACAAATTGGATGGCCTGAGGGTAAAATTTTCAGTAAATTTTCAGCAAATTAAAATTTTGGGGTGAACTATTTATGCTGTTCTTTTAAACTTTCTTGAAAGTTCAGCCATGCCATCACAAGGATGAATTAACAAGAACCTAATAACAAAAATAAAGAGGGAGATTCCTTTTTTCACAGTACTACTGTTTTTACTGTATTTTTGATCAAATAAATGCAGCCTTGGTGGGCATAAGACACTTCTTTAAAAAAGTATTAAATCTTTCTGACCCCAAACATATGAACAATAGCGTAAATACGAAAATATTTTATCAAATGTTGAGACACAGCCGAAAAACATACCTTGCAGATGTTAAAACAAAATGTTACACACTCCCCAGTCTCCTTTAACCCACACATACATAAATGCAAGCATACCTCGCACAAAATGCGCACACATACACTTTTTACATCATGCATACAAATCGCCCCCAGACGTCTGACATCATGCCCAGACCCCTGGTGCAGTCAAACACACACTCACACACACACACACACACACACACACACACACACACACACACACACACACACGCTCTGAGCCATATCACATAAGCATGAACATTGATATGACCCTGCATGCACTAAATAAATCATTTTTATAAACACATGTATGTATGATATTTTCCAGTTATAAATCCAGTAATCCCTAATAATCTAAACAAACATAATAAATGCAAACATAATACCCAAAGACAATACAAATACACTTAAAGCATATATTAATATTTACTGTACACAACATACTCTACAAAAATCAATCCACATACTGTAATCTACAAATCTACAAATGTCTTAATCCACACATCTGTTTGCAAAAGTGGTACATACCATGGCCCATAATCTATGAATAATCTAGACATTGGCAGCCCTGCTCTCTGTGAACTCCAGCAAACCGCTCCATGTCCTGCTCTTAAGTGTGTTTACCCACAGTGCTCTAGTCATACTCTGCTGTGGCTGACGGTGATGTCACGGAGCCAGCGTGCCACAGGCTGCGTGGGATTATTAATATCTGTACTTCACTGGAGTTATGTAAGAACGGGCGCTGGATTATATTGTTACTGTACAGAAAATGGCCATGAAGAAAGTGGTTTGAGGAGGGACAGGAACAGGAGATGCCCTCTCAGGGGTGAACATAATCCCCTCTGATAGCACTGCATCTTAAATGAGTCTGACTAAATGATAATGGAGAAAGAAAGCAGCTGAACAGATGTGTGGTGTAGTACTGCTGAGAGGCCACATGGCTTGCCTGGGACGGGCAGTCCATTGGAAACTGAGGATGCAGAAAAATCCATCCCCTCCGAGCCTATACAGACAAACCTGCTGGAGCTTCACAAGGGCCATTCCACGAAATATGGAGTTACTTTTGTGCCTTTTTATGCAATCAAACATACCATGTTTGAAAGCAAAACCGATTAAACAATTAACAGTACAGGCGAGAGCGCATTTCTGCATGTGTGATGAAAACTGCAAAAAGACAAAAAAAGATTGAATCCCACTGCAGAGAGTTTTGTTCTCAATTACTTTAACAGCTCTAAGAAGCCACCTTTGTGTGTAAACAATGACTGAATAACAATGAATTACACATCAACAGTACAATTATTTATCTTTTTTTTTTCATAAAGCATAAAAACTATATTTTAATCTATTTCTGAAATGTTAGAATTGTCATTTTTCAGTAGAGGACAAATAGTTAACTATAACTATCCTTTAAACAACTGTTTATAAAACAAGTATTTGTAGAAATATCAACATTACATCTTTCTAAGAAACACCTTGTAATGTCATGAACTGGAGCACAAGACTAGTAATGCCAAAAAGAACTATAAAACTGTCAACCTGGTTGACTTTTTAAGTAATATATACCCTACTGGACAAACGTTTGGGGTCAGTATGATTTTTTAAAAAGTTTTTGGAAGAATTTCTTGAAAGACGCCTTACAGTAAAGCTGAATTTTCAGCATCAGTACTCCAGTCTTGAGTGTCACATGATCCTTCAGAAATCATTCTAATATGCTGATTTACTGCTCAAGCAACAAGAAACTTTTAAACGGTAATGTACATCCCAAAACATAAAATGTTTTAAAAATTCATTAACAATTATCTGACTGATACACAGACCAACAAATCAACTACACAACTGTTTAAAGACGTGTATTACAGAGAAGGAATTTTAATATTTGCACACGACTCTGGCTTCATACGGAGCCCCACACATGACCTGCGGACAAAAATATGTTTATCGTGGCCACGAATTAACAATTCGTCCCTACGACTTATTTATTAATTCCCTTGTTTTAGTACAATGTGGCCATGTTTTACTAAAACAATTAATTTGTGGCCATATAGGCTATATTTCCCACATGTCAAGTGTGGGGCTCTGTAGTACACCAGAAACTTAAAAGTAAAACTTCAATAATCTGGCAACTTTTGGATTGAATTGAAAACCAGCTTCTCTAAAAGTATCAAAATGCAAATTCTTCATACCTATGCATGCACTCACGTTTTCCTAGTTGTCCTTCTCTGTGGTTTCCAGTACACTGCTGCTCAGCCAAACAATGACTCGCACACAGAATGAGAGGAAAGCACTGACTGTCTCATCACTGTTACAAACACTCACTCTCTCCCCTTTCAGCTTCATCTCTTTATTCACTCACCCTAACCAGGTCAGGTGAGATTTTCTTTTATTTACTTTTCACTGGCTCTCTCTCTCTCTCTCTCGTATGTGGATGCTCTCTGACTGTCTCTGAGGCAGGAACATTTCCGTTACATAATGTTTGTGCTTCTGCCCACTCACTCACAGCTCAATAGCAGAGATAGCCAATGTGGCCATGTTTTACTAAAACAATTAATTTGTGGCCATATAGGCTATATTTCCCACATGTCAAGTGTGGGGCTCTGTAGTACACCAGAAACTTAAAAGTAAAACTTCAATAATCTGGCAACTTTTGGATTGAATTGAAAACCAGCTTCTCTAAAAGTATCAAAATGCAAATTCTTCATACCTATGCATGCACTCACGTTTTCCTAGTTGTCCTTCTCTGTGGTTTCCAGTACACTGCTGCTCAGCCAAACAATGACTCGCACACAGAATGAGAGGAAAGCACTGACTGTCTCATCACTGTTACAAACACTCACTCTCTCCCCTTTCAGCTTCATCTCTTTATTCACTCACCCTAACCAGGTCAGGTTAGATTTTCTTTTATTTACTATTCACTGGCTCTCTCTCTCTCGTATGTGGATGCTCTCTTACTGTCTCTGAGGCAGGAACATTTCCGTTACATGTTTGTGCTTCTGCCCACTCACTCACAGCTCAATAGCAGAGATAGGATGTCCTGAAAGCGTCGTCATAAAAAGGCATTTTTTTCAGCTTTCATCATAGTGTAAGTGCATATGGTTTATATAGACTGTTTAATGTGTGTGAGTGTGTTCGAGGGAGATTTTCACAGCTGCTGTGTCCAGGGTAAAATCCCATGAGCATCAATCTATGCACCTGCTTCAGCTTTGTCACACATACTGAGGTTCTCATGGTAACAGTGATTTCTTCATTAACAGAGTGGATGGTTGACTTACTGGACAGTGGGTTTTTTTTGGACATTCTGCATTTACCATAGTGCAAAGACCGTGTCAATAAATTAATGCAGATGGAATGAAGTTGTTATCTATTATCTATTATCAAACACGTTTTACTGCCACTTCAAAGACAAAGAAAATCTTACGACTCCAAACTTTTGCACGCTATTTTATGTGATAAATGATTTTCTTTTATTTACTTTTCACTGGCTCTCTCTCTCTCTCTCTCGTATGTGGATGCTCTCTGACTGTCTCTGAGGCAGGAACATTTCCGTTACATAATGTTTGTGCTTCTGCCCACTCACTCACAGCTCAATAGCAGAGATAGCATGTCCTGAAAGCGTCGTCATAAAAAGGCATTTTTTTCAGCTTTCATCATAGTGTAAGTGCATATGGTTTATATAGACTGTTTAATGTGTGTGAGTGTGTTCGAGGGAGATTTTCACAGCTGCTGTGTCCAGGGTAAAATCCCATGAGCATCAATCTATGCACCTGCTTCAGCTTTGTCACACATACTGAGGTTCTCATGGTAACAGTGATTTCATCATTAACAGAGTGGATGGTTGACTTACTGGACAGTGGTTTTTTTTGGACATTCTGCATTTACCATAGTGCAAAGACCGTGTCAATAAATTAATGCAGATGGAATGAAGTTGTTATCTATTATCTATTATCAAACACGTTTTACTGCCACTTCAAAGACAAAGAAAATCTTACGACTCCAAACCTTTGCACGCTATTTTATGTGATAAACATTCACCAATAACAGAAAGAGACCGTATTGAGCAGTAAGCAACTCACATTTATTTTACAATTCACTTTGTGTGCATTTGACAATATGGTTACATTCCTGTCAGGCACAGTCATATGTAAGATACAAAAAAGAACAGCATACAGTGATTAAAACATGCTTTGTAACATTGTTCACAGATCTGACATCATATTGTGTGGAGCCATCGGTCATATCGAACACATTGTGTAAAAGCTGAAATTAACTTGTGACTCTTGAATACAAACATTATCATTTCTTTTGTTATTAAAATATATCTTAAGTGCACAGTGCTGGATTGTTTTTAACTCCACATTGTCAGTCAAGACCTCCCAAGGAACGAAGTACCCAATGTTACATATTGTATCAAAACATTACTCAATTGTGCAAAATGTATTCACCATCATTGAATAAATAAAAAGACAGAAAATTACCTCTGATTGTTGTAGTGAAATGGCAAAGCATGCAAGTCAAAAAGGAAATTCTTTGATCATAAATCAGTGCCATCTTCTACACAATTCACTGGTAACAAATTCAAGAGCAGTTTTTGAGTTATTGTATGCAGCAGGATATTTTACATTTCAGTCAAAACAAAAACTAAAATGTTCTCTTTTTTTCCAAAGGCACTGTAATGTTAAAGGGAATAAAGTTTTGCTCTAGGTGGCTAATCACTGTAAACTCCAATGAGGATGATAAGAAGAATGATGCTGCACACAGCTCCACAAATGGCAACACAAACCAATTTCTATGACAGACAGAACAAAAAAACAACAGAAAAATTCACTATGTATGAAATTAATAACTAAACGTAAATGTACCCATTTTTGTTATCAAAGGCATTTCATCACTTTTTTTCTAATTGGTTAGAAGCAAATAAACTGGCATTGATTAAAACATATTTGAATCTTTGAGCCATTAAATCTTTCCCATAAAAAGCTGTCACCACATTCAAATGGGATTTAAATAGAGGCAAAGTGATAGTAGACGAGATAGTTAATGATCGGGTACTGGGTGCTACCTTGGAAACCATGCTTAGACAGGATTGGCTGCATTAGAGCTGGAGGAGGCGGAGTTAGTAGTGGTTTTAACAGACAGACCCACAGATAATCCAACAATTAGTGCGACCACAGCAAGCACCACCAAAACAATGAGAGCAAGAATGATGTATTTCTGTATAAGACAAAAAGGTGTTATAATAATTGCATTTTTCAAGAACTTAGTGATGGTTTAAAATTCCATAGAATATTCTTTAGCCTGCAAAGCATATTGTGAAAGGATAAAGCTAAATGTGTTAATCAAAAATTGAAGCATCAATTGAAATATGTATGTGAACATTTTTAAAAGTGAATTTTGAAAGCTGAAAAGGGCTGCTAACTCGTTACCAACCCTCTATGGCTAGTGACAGGTTAGCATAAGTTAGTAACAGTTCAGACATAATCTGAAACATTAAACAGAGCACAATATTGAGACACTTTTTGTGGCCTTTATTCCAGATTAATACAAAAAACACTAAAGACTTCATGAAAAAAAATAAACAGCCTAATCACAACACTACACATTCCGATTAGAAGCAAAGCTATTATATATTATATTGTGGCTTCTAAAACATCTGTATATTTTAAAATATCTTACCCTGCGGGCCTGTGTCTGGTACCTCACAGCTTTCTTGGTCTCCACTTTAGCTTGGCCGACATACTCTACTGCATTGGTTACATTCTTTTCAATGTTGTCAATCATCTCACCCTGTACAACATAAATGAGCGAGTTAATGAACGAATGCTGTATAGGTTAACTAGTAAGTGAACAAACATCAATAAAGATTACTGATTACTGTATACTATACCTGGGTCTCAACAAGCATGGCAATGTCCACAAACATGTCATGAAGCTCTTTAATGCTGGACTCTAGCCGCAAGATGTCTTTATGTCTAGATTCGATCTCATTAAGGGCCTGACGAGTTATCTGAGAGTCAGAGATTATCTGAAAACAGAGATCTTTTAGCAGCCTCTAGAAACTTAAAAAGAGTTACAACACAGCATAAAACAAAGGAACAGATCACCCAAAATTAGACAATTTTGTCATACTCTTTCCCACGTTTTTAAAAACCTGAAGCACTTTCTTGCTTCCAAAAAAAAAAAAAACAACGCGACAGAATCACCTAAAATATCCCAGCCATTCAGAAGTGAGAAGCACACTGCACGCCCAACGAAATGGACAAGGTTATAATCTAATTCATAAATATTAAACCTTTTTAACATTATTAAAACTACATCCTGAGTGACTTGACTCTTTGTCATGGAAAACGCTTGTTGGTTTGCATCGAGTTCTCAGTTTTAACGTACATGTTTGCTTTAATTTATTTTCAAGATCTGAGGTAAAGTGTCTGTTGATGCTTTCAGTATGGCTATAAAAGTCATGCACAATGATATTCAAACTCACATGAAACACTTTTAACATTGAATAAAGCACATACTCAGTACCTGAGGTTATCATTGTCAGTTTGTATGTTGTTGTTCCAGACGTTGCAGAAATAGAAACAGTTTCTAAAACAGAAACTTCACATGTCGCCTTCGTGGCTGGTTAGGACAAAAACTTGGAAAAGATACCTTTTATCATGTGTCACAGCGTCGCGTGTAGTTAGGACACAGTGTAAGGAGAAATTATAAAGAATTGCATTTAATTACAATAAATGGGAAGTCATGTTGACCTTTTTAGTCTTTAGAGAATCATATCGGCCACGTTATGATACTTTTTGGTGTCCTTTTTAAAGTCCCCTGTTATTGTACCCAACCATTCAAAAGTTTGGGTTCAATAAATTATTTTATTCAGCAAGGATGTTTAAATATATGCAGTCTTGATGAGCAGAAAACACTTCTTTCAAAATCCCTCAAAAAATCTTACCGACCCCAAACTTTGAAGTGAAATTGCATAGAAAAACAGGTCAATACGTTGTTCAAAATTTTCACTGTGTACTCCATGTTAGAAATATGAGAGGACATGGGGGTAGCTGGTAACAGAATTATTATTTTTGGCTGAACCCTCTAAAGTGGTCATATGATGCGATTTCAATTTTTCCTTTCTCTTTGGAGTGTTACAAGCACTTGGTGCATAAAGAAGATCTGTAAAGTTGCAAAGACTAAAGTCTCAAATCCAAAGAGATATTCTTTATAAAAGTTAAGAGTCAACCACGCCTACCTAAAACGGCTCGTTCTAACACGCCCCCACATATCTACATCACGATGTGGGAAGATTCGCATAACACCGCCCAAATGTTCACGCAAATAAAGGCGGCGTAAATTTTATTCTCACTGTAGTATTGTTGCTGCCGCCATGTCGTGAAAATGCTGTGTGTTTAAAGAGATATTCTTTATAAAAGTTAAGAGTCAACCACGCCTACCTAAAACGGCTCGTTCTAACACGCCCCCACATATCTACATCACGATGTGGGAAGATTCACATAACACCGCCCAAATGTTCACGCAAATAAAGGCGGCGTAAATTTTATTCTCACTGTAGTATTGTTGCTGACGCCATGTCGTGAAAATGCTGTGTGCTTTGTTGTGAAAGCGAAACTACTTTGGTTGGCCTTCCAAAAGAGGACGATATCCGCTTCGTCATGCCTAGAGCTGATCCGTGCTGATCGCTGAGGAAATACATCAACTTCGCGCTGTGGATCGCCGGATCGGCTTTCACCGTGGACGAAGCGGAGTCCAGCCCGGGGTCGTCACATGTGGTTGCCGTAAGCCCGCCAGCTGCTCCTTCGTCGAATCCACCGGCCGCGCTATTCTCAAGCTCGCCGGCCTCCGCTCACTCTAGCCCGCCGTGTGTGACGCTGTGTTTTGTTGTGAAAGCAAAACTACTTTGTTTGGTCTTTCAAAAGAGGACACGAATAGAAATCAGTGGTTAAGTTGTATTTACAACACTGTTCCAGAACA